CCAGGAGATCCTGAAGATGTGGGTTGCACTGACCACAGGCACCTCACAGCCTTTGGCAGAAGGTGTGGATTTTGGAGCTGACATCCACTGTGGATCTACTTTTTTCTTGTTCCATCCAACTCAAGGCAACCAGACAAGACAACAACCTTCAGACCCAAGGAACTGGACCCAGAGACACAATTTGGCAACTTTAAACACAGAAGTCACATCAAGGCCTCCATTTCCTTGGCTAAAACTACCCATGGACACGTGTCAGATCCTGCCATAGTCTGTGGAAGCCAAACCACAGGGAGTTCCCCAGCCTTGGCCCAAGGGACTGGAGAACCTCTGGGTGGTGGAGGGCACTGAGAAGCTCCCACTCCATTGAACTGTGGGACTCTAAGCTTGGTTTTCCAGCACAAGCTCAAGGAGATATTTCCCAGGGACAAGACCTTCTGCAGAATCTCTGCCTCTCTGCCTTTAGTTCTGGCTTTAGTCCCGTGCAGGAGTGACAGATCTCTGGGAGGGACGGAATCCTGGGACAGAGGCTCAGCTGCTGCAGAGCCCCCAGTGCTGTCTGGAGGGTTTGTGCCGCTGGACCACATCCAACTCCACAGGCACAGTGGGACCTGCACGTGCAGCTCAGGCCAGAGGTGCCCAAAGCAAAGGCACAGGGAGCAGCTGCTGGCCCAGGGCGAGTCAGGGCCCTGCACCCCTTCAGTGTCCCCTTCAGTGTCCCCTCCCCTCCTGCTGCACCTTGGGCCTTATTCCACAGAACCATAGATCCACAGAACACTTTGGGACGGGAGGGACCTTAAAAACCATCTCATTCCACCCCCTGCCATGGGCAGGGACACCTCACACTAGCCCAGGTTGCTCCAAGCCCCGTCCAACCTGGCCTGGGACACTCTCAGGGATTTCAGGGGATTTCAGGGGCAGCCACAGTTTCTCTGGGCAACCTGGGCCAGGGCCTCCCCACCCTCCCAGGGAAGAATTTATCTCTAACATCTAATCTAAACCTTTCTCTTTCAGTTTGAAGCCATTTCCCCTTGTTCTGTCAGTGCAGTTCTGATGAACAGCCCCTCTGTGGCTTCCCTGGAGCCCCTTCAGACACTGGAAGGTGCTCTGAGGTCTCCACACAACCTTCTCTTCTCCAGGCTGAACACCCCAGCTCTCTCAGCCTGTGATTCCATAAGGCCCAGCTCTTCCACAGAGTGATCCACACCAAAACAGCTCGAAATTATAAAATTCCGGGCAGAAAATCTCCTCCTAAAGCAGATACCTGCCCTGGACAGCTGCTTCTCTCCATGGAGGCATCTAAGGGCTAGTCCTGAAAAGCCATCACCCAAATACTTCTCACTCAACCCAGCCTTGTGTTTTATGTCAACACATCTTCTCCCAGGCAGAACCCACCGGTTCAACAAATAGGGGAAGGGAATGAAGCCCCATCCCAAAGAATATTGATTGCCTGATGAGGACAGAACTGTCCCAGGGTGCAGAAGGGATGTTTGCTGCCATCTAGGAAGGGCTTTTTTCAAGGACTCCTGAAAAAATCCCAGAGTCACATGCAGGGAACAAGAGGTCCACTTTCAAGGCATTGTCAAGCATAAAAAGGACTGTTTGATCAAAAAGCTGCAACTTAGGAAAGGTGCCCTGTCACACCTAGAACTGGCTTTGGAGGTTGCCTAATTTCCTGCATTTTCCTCTTCAATGAAGTTTTATTATTCTGTTCTTTCCTGTTGGGTGTGAGAATTATAAAACATGCCTCGTTCAACCTACTTCAGCTAATCTCTGTCAATGGATTCAACAGCCTGGAGAACAAGCACAGTCCTCTCTCAGCCCTTTTCACCCTAATTAAGATGCTCTTCAGCATCTCCTTTCTCTTCTTCCCTCGGGTGGTACCTAATTAGGGCTTCTAATTAAAGCTGCACCCGAGGGGCTGGGCTTTGCACAGATGTTGGGATCAGTCCAGGCACCACCACGGAGCTCCTGCCAGGCTCAGGTTGTCCCTCAGCACTTGGTGGGACTGAGGGGCTTTGTAGAACATCCCTGGCAGAGCTCAGCTGAGGTTCTGGGAGCAGGGCCCTGGGGGAGTTTTCTGCATGTCTGGCCCGTGGCATTTTTAAGCTGGTTTTCCAGACACGTCGACTCCTGTGGAACTCACCAGTGAGTCCAAAGGTTCCTCATGTGAATCTGGGGAACCTGCCTTGGAAGATTTTCCATCATTCATCCCCATGTCAAATTTTTTACTATTAATTGATCTTAGGGCACCAAAAAAGCAACAACCCACCCACAACGATCAGTTCCAATTTTCTCTCTCCCTGTTTGGATGTCTTTTTTCAAGCCCACATACTGTAGAAAGGCTGAAGAGTATTTTTTGTGGTCCTACCCCCAGCAAATATGATGCTTCTCGCACCCCAAACAGGGATGTTCATTCTCTGGGACCAAGGGCTGACCAAAGTCAGAGTTCTTTTGTGACTTAAGAAAGATAAATAATAGGTTGAGCCCCAGGCTTGCTCAACAGACACTCCAGATAGTGGGGAAATCTTTCCTGGGAAGTGCATGAATGTCCAACAACCCTCAGCTTCCTCATTCACACCACCTGAGATCAGTCCAAGCAGGACATCGTGGGAATTACCCAAAACCGGCAAAATTCTCAGGCCTGTCCTGGAGCTGGGCTGAGCAGAAGAGGGGAGGATTGCACCTCAGGTGTTATATACAGGACATTTGCAGTGTTTCATTGTTTCCTGTAATTCAAGGTCCTTCTGATCATGGACCTTTGTCATTAAATCCATAGACACAGTGACACTGTCACAGGAACCTCTGAAGGAATGTGCTTTTCACACCCAGTCCCAGGGTGGAGGCTGGGCCAGGGGAGATGCAGCTCAGCCAGGAAGGGCAGTGGGGAAGGAGGGGGCTGAAGGTCTGGCCAGGAAGCCCTGGAAACCAATAGAGAAATTATAGAATCATGGAATATCCAGAGCTGGAAGGGACCCACAGGGATCATCCAGTCTAACTCCTGGCCCTGCACAGACACCCCAACTATCCCACCCTGGCCCTCAGAGCGTTGTCCAAACCCTCCTGCAGCTCTGGCAGCCTTGGGGCTGTGCCCACTGCCCTGGGGAGCCTGGGCAGTGCCCAACCAGCCTCTGGGGGAAGAACCTTTGCCTGAGATCCAACCTGAGCCTGCCCTGACACAGCTCCAGCCGTTCCCTGGGTGCTGTCCCTGCTCCCCCAGAGCAGAGATTGGAGCTGCCCCTGGGGAGGAGCTGCAGCCCCCGCTGAGCTCTGCCCTCAGCCTGCTCTGCTCCAGCTGCACACACCAAGTGCCCTCAGCTGCTCCTCATGGCCCCTCCAGACCCTTCAGCATCTTCATAACCCTCCTTTGACTGATGGCTTTTTAACTGCACTTACTCAAAAAATAATAATATCAAACCCAACCAGCCCCTGTCAGCTCTGAGGGGCACAGGAGGGGACGTGGGTGCTCTGTCCCTGTGTGACACCCACAGTCACAGAGCTGGGAAGAGCATGGGAGGCAAAGGGCTCAACCCTGGGAAAACACTTCCAGGATCCCTTGGCACGAAGATCCAAGCTGGTCTGAGCACCCACAGCCCCAAGTACAACAACCTGGGGATAACTTTGTCTCAGTACCCCCATAGACATCTAGAGAGGAGGAAGGTGTTTAAGTTAAGGAATGTTTAATCTGATGGATTCGCTTTGAGCTGAAATTTGCTCAGGACCATTCCCAGCCTCTCCATTCCCACCCAGCTCTGCTGTGCCACTCCCTTTTCCCAGTGCTTTGGGCCATCTGGATTTCTCTCCCTTCGCCCACCACCCCGCAGCCACCAAATAAGGAAGAAAAAATCGTATTGACTTTTGCCATTATTTATTACAAATTATAATTTGAAAATTACTGTCTAAAAAAAATCAATAGATTTAAATAAATATACAGATTTCAGGATGCTACATATGGCAAGTGTGCAGTAAGTCACTTAAGGATGAGACATTATCCACACAAGGAGAGATACATAGTATTCAACAGTAGTAGTTTTATTTTAAATTACTCAGCTCACATTAAACCATGTGCAAAGTTTCCTCTGGAACAAATCTTTTCAGGATTTATTTTTTTTTTTTTTAGAATGACTCCAACCTTCAGAAAGTCAAATATAAAAAAGATTCTCTGCAGCTTTGGGGACCAAATGATTCATTTGCTGTTTCGTTTATGATACAATCAGTTGGTCTCATTTTTTCCTCCCTCCAGGGCTTAGAGGAAAATCAAGGAATTATTTTTGCTGTCCAACGGGACTACACTTGCAACAGCCACAGATTTTGGTCCACCACCAACTTCCAGCAGCCTTTAGAAATGCTCCTGTGTAATACTGGATTGGGCAGCAAGAGGGACCCAACAGTGGTTCCAGAGGAGCAGTGATTCCCCTGCACTGCCCAGAGCTGCAGCCTCTGTTTCTGATGGAATTAATCTGCCCAGGCAAAGAAAAGTGCATTTGTGATACAGCTCCAGAGCCTCGAGACTGTGTTTGCCTGCAGGATTGGTTTCTAGGTCCTGGGCTCAGGGTTTTTCCCAGATTCCCCCGTCCCTCCTGTGTTGCTCCATGGCTCTGGCATGGCTTTAAATCCCAGCCTTCCTCTGTGCACACAGGGCTGTGCTCCCCTACAGAATCACAGGAAGGTTTGGGTTGGAAGGGACCTTAAAGTTCATCTGGTTCCAACCCCCTCTTCTTCCCAGTCCTCCCTTCCACATCCATCCTGTCTGGCTGCCCTTTGCATTCCCGATCCAGGTTACAGTTCCCACAGTGACCTGCTACCCATACACTGTATTTATTACACAGAGCCCAGCTCAGAGCCCTGATCTAAGCAAAGCAGCAAGCAAGCCTTTGGATCTCCCCATCCCACACACACCTCTCTGCCTCCAGCCCCTCTTTCCAGGCACAGCTGGAACAAAGCTGGGATGTCAGGCTGGGAGCTGGCAGTGCCCTGCCCCACGGAGGGAGTGTCCAGGGAGATGAGATGGACTCCCAGCCCTGAGCTGACCCAGAGCAGCAGCTCAGGCCGGGCAGGGCTCCCTCCCCTGGCTCTGCTGGGGCTCCTGCAGACACAGCTCCCCCTCAGCTCCCCACCCTGGGCCTGCTGGCAGGGTCACGCTTGGATTTGGTGCCGGCTCTGGTGTGAGCCACCCTCCATCTCAACTACAGCCCCTCGAGGACCTCAGGGAAAACTCCCTTCAGTGAATTTCTCAGCCAGGGAGTGCCACTGACCACTCCGTTGGCTTCCAGGCTTCTGCATTATCCATATTTTTAATACAAACTGGGAGCTGGTTCAGCCTGGGAGTCTCATTCACAGGCACTGACTGTGACAAGAGAAAATAGTGCAAAGTTGGGCTCAGGTTGGAGGCAGCTCATCCCTGAGCACCAGGACCAGCCAAAGCAGCTCTGAGTGGGGCCAAGCTGGGCCCTGCTCACCCCCAGCTCCAAGGCAGAGCAGAGCAGGCTGGAGACACGGGCTCAGTGCTGGCACATCCAGAACTGCACAGAACCACCCGGGCTGGGATTCCACCCTCTGCCCGCGACTCCAGAGCAGAGTTAAGCTCGTACTCTTCCAGCAAGACCCTTGCCTGGTCCAAAAAGGCACAGTTCAGCTCCACAACACATCTAGGACTGTATAGAGAGAGAGTTTTCCCTTTACAACAGTCTCTGGAGCACAGGCGGTGCTGGGTCAGCGACAGGAGCACGGACACTTCCACTCCTTCCCTTCCACTCACGGCCTTTCCTTCAGCTCTAACTACTGACAGCGGAGCTGGTGGCACCCACGGGACTCCAAATTCTTCTGGTGAACTTGGTGTGCACCTGTTTCTTATCTCTTCTTCTTCCAGATGTTTTTCCTCCAAGGCAGAACCGCTGGCTGTGCGTCCCTCTGGGAGCGCTGCGGGTGTTTCCCGGAGCGCAGGCTGGAGGCAGCAAGGTCCCTGGGAACAGAAGAGACACCAACTTCACTCTCCAGTCCATTTGCCCACTGCTCAGAAACAGCCCATACTATGACATGTATCTACCTTTCTCCAGGATTTACTGTGGGGCAGAAGATGGGGGAAGGCAGAGGGGGAATTTCCAGCCACAGCTTTATTAAACCACAGAGGAATTCCATCAAGCCCAACATCCCCTTTCCATCAGTGGCAGAGGATTCAAGGAGTCCTGCAGCAGGGCATGACCCAAGTGATGCTTCCCCACATCTGCCTTTCAGACACTGTTCCCATTGCATCTGATTTGACTGCCAACAATTAACTGATCTGCCAACTCCCTTTAGCTCATTTACACTCCTGGAGTCTCTGGTTTCTTCCAGCAGCGATTCCACAACTCACTGATGTGAGCTGAGAAAAGCTCTTTTCTTCAGTCCAAAGTTGCTGCCCAATAAATTGTATTCCTCCCTGATGCCATCCCCCCACCCTCTTCTGGTACATCACCCACCCGCCTGTCCCATATCAGAACTTCCTATTCCAATCAAGAATTACATTTTATGTGATAATCCTCTGGATCTGATAGGTCACAAGCAACCCTGGCTCCCTCAGCTCTGAGCCCTCCATTCTACAGAGAGCAGAAATAGTCAAGTCTTCTCATTTAAAGGAGACAAGAGGAGGAAGTCCTGTCAAATCCAAGTGGGACCTGCAGTCTGGGGTCACAGCTGCCGACTTTCAAGTGCTTATGAGGGATGTTCAGGGTGGGTTTAAGTGCCATCTCACCTGAGAGCCCTCAGTAGGCCATGATGGGGAGGCTTCATGTCACCACTCTGTGGGGACCTCATTGATGCTCCAGAACTCACTGGGAGCTTCAGACTCTGGAGGTACCTAATGAGCAAGAGGAGATTCATGAACCACCCACATCCAGACTGGCTGTGCTGAGCCACAGTGACAGACAGCTGAATGCATGATCTTGAAGGGTTAATTGCAGCTATTTGAGAGCTATTCAGGGCTCACTTTTCCTGCTATTCCCTTCTGTCAGACCTCACTCTATTCACATTTAATGATTGGGGATTTTAACTATTGCCTTGCTATGGAATTAATGACAGATCTTTACAATGCCTTTGCTCCCACCTCCCCACAGTGTACACACCCCTCCGTGCTGCTGCTGAAGGGAGAGAACTGAGACCCCACGTGCTGTGTAAACAGAGCTGATCACAGAGATTTGGCTTCTGAGTCCCAGCTCACAGCAGTCCTGCTCTGCTCCTATGGTGTCCCAAAGCTCCACACCCTCTGCTTGCCCCTGTTCCCAACTCTGCCTTCCCACTCTGCCAGCTCTGCCTTCCCCCCAGCACACCCAGCACCCTGGCAGCAGGAGGGATGGAGGTAACATTGCTTTATATCAGCTAGGAAAGAGACTTTTGTACAACCCAAACACCCGGGTGGCACTGCCGGGGCCTCTGGGGAGGGCAGTGAGAGCCACTAGAAAAGTTCCAGCCGTTCGCAGCATCCCCAGGGAGCTGGAGATGCTCCAGCTCCTGAGTGCTGTCTGTCTGCTTGCCCCCTCCCCAAACAGCCCCCAGGGACACCCTCAGGACCCCCTGACTTACCCAGGCTTCCCCTGGCAGAAGGTGGCACAGATGTTGTCCCTGGAGTGCGAGCACTGGCACCTGCCCGGTGACCTCCTGCGCCGCCTGGGCGGGCTCCCCAGGCCGTAGGGAGCCGTGTGCCTGGGAAAAACAAAGGGATTCAGCCGTGCCACCAACTTTTTTATTAGCCAACAGGTTTACAGCACGGTCTTGGGAGGCAGCCAAGCCTGTGCCAGGATAATAAAAGACTCATCTGTAGACAGAAGGTGAAAAGGTCACTGATAGGTCTAAGCCTTTAAACTGCAGCTCCTCTCCCACCTCCTGTTTTCCCCACCCTACCCCTCCCAGGGAGATTGCCACGATGTGGCTTGGAAGTGCAGTTCCCTCTCCCTGCAGCAGCCCAGGTGCCCGTGCAAGGGTTACCGCATGGGCTGGGCAGTTCAGCTGCGTGCCAGAGCACAGGAGGAGCAGGGCCGGCCCGGGCCAGCAGCCCCAGCCCAGCAGAGATGTCAGTGCCTTCCTTCCCCCGCGGGTTTAACACGCAGGATATCGTACAAGGATATCTCGGGGCCAGAGGAGGTTCTGTGATCACAGCGTGCTCCCAGAGCTGTTAGCACATTCCCAGCTCCATCTCTGATGGCAATCTCCTCTCCCAGAGGGTTCAGGATTGGCAGTGACTGCAACTCTTCTCCGAGCAAGCAGCGAGTTGTAGTTTCATGTCAGCAAGCACGATTATAACCACACCTGAGCACATGTGTTATGCTCCAGTGTGATGGCCATTGGTCTGAAACTGCTGGGAAAGCTGCTTTAACATTCCTGAGGGCAGGACTTGGCAGCCACGGGCCGTTAGTGCCAGCCCACCACTGTCTCATTAACAATACTGGCAGGCAGCAGCCAGGGCTGCAGTTTGTGAGCGGGGAGAGCAACTTTCTGACTTGAAGCTACAACATCTTGGTGTTAATTTGGGTTTGCAGAGGTACAAACCTCAGAGCCCGCGAGGCAGCAGCGCCCTGTGCTTTCACCCCGATCCCTGGGGGTGAGACTGAACCTCCTGAGCAGAAGCACAGCCTGTCCCTTTCTAGGCTGAGCTCGCAATGTCCCCCGAGCAGGTGCTCCCGGAGCCTCCCGGCAGTGGGACCCTTCCCCCATCCTCCAGCAGAAGGTACAGTCACTGTCCATCCCCAGCGCTCCCCACTCCGAAAGCTGCTCGTGCTTACCCAGGTGTGTTGACCCAGATGATGTCCAGGTGACAGAAGTAAATGCATTCCTTATCCATCCAGCTGTTGCAGGAACATCGCTTGGTCCTGGGGTGCGCGGCCAGGTGGGACTCTGGCGGGGGATGGCCCAGACCTGCGGCACACGAGGGAGGGATGAGCCGCACGCTCGGAGCCCGTCCGTGTGTCCCCTCCGCAGCCACACCTCCGCGGGGACCGTGCCCGCAGCTTCGCGGGATGAGGCTGCGGCTCATCCCGGACCGGCACAACCCCGGCGGCTCCTCCGGAGCGAGGGCACCGCGCAGCGCCCGCACCCCGCAGCCCCCTCGGACACCCCTGTCCCCGCTCCCCCAGCCCAGGGCTCCCCGGGTACCGATCCTCCTCCAGCCCGGGGCTCACCGGCTTCCAGGAGGGCGAGGAGGGCGAGCGCCAGCAGCACTGCGGGGTGGCGGGGCATCACCGCGGCTCTGCGGGCTGGGCTGAGCTTGGCTGGGCTGAGCTTGGCTGGGCTGAGCCGGCGGCTTCTGGGGGCTCTTCTGTGGGTTTTCCTCCTTTTCCTCCCGTCCCGGCTGTTCCACTGGAGCCGCCGCGCAGCGTCTGGAGCCGTGGGGCGCCCGGCAGGTGCTTTATAGCCCCGGTCCCGCCGCGTCACGGCCGCTCCGCCCCGCGCGTGGAGCGGCCGCGGGAACCGCCGGGCCCGGGGACACCAACACCCCCCGGGGACACCGACACTCCCTGGAGATACCGACCCATCCCTGGGGATACCGATACCCACTGGGGACACCGACACTCCCTGGGGACACCGATACCCACTGGGGACACCAACACCCCCCGGGGACACCGACACTCCCTGGAGATACCGACCCATCCCTGGGGATACCGACCCATCCCTGGGGACACCGATACCCACTGGGGACACCGACACCCCTCAGGGACACTGACAGCCCCCCGGGGGGCACTGACCCACCCCCGGGGACACCGACACTCCCTGGAGATACCGACCCATCCCTGGGGACACCGATACCCACTGGGGATACCGACACTCCCTGGGGACACCGATACCCACTGGGGACACCGACACTCCCTGGGGACACCGATACCCACCGGGGACACCGACACCCCTCAGGGACACCGACAGCCCCCCGGGAACACCGACCCACCCCTGGGGACACCGACACCCCCCCGGGGGGCACTGACCCACCCCTGGGGACACTAACACTTCCCGGGGACACCGACCCACTCCCGGGGGCACCGACACCCCCCGGGGGGCACTGACCCACCCCTGGGGACACCGACAGCCCCCTGCCCTCCTCACCCTCCGCGGGCACACGCGTGGGCTCCCCTGCCCCTCGTGTCCGGGCGGCGCCCGGGGGGATTTGGAGAGAACGAGTCCCGGGGGTGTCGGGGAGGGGATGCGGAGGGGGGTGACTGTGGGACCCCCGGGGGTCCCGAGTGCGACCGGAGCTGCAGGTGAAGGCAGGAGGACACACACACAGGCAGAGCCCCCGTGGGATCCCCCCGAACACCTGCCCACGCGTGGGGACTGACCCCGGCCCCCACGGCACCTCCCGGGGGTGGATTAAACTGAGTAAACAGGACAGAATTCAAGATGTATTTCAAGTTTTCACTTGAAATTTCTTAATTTACTTTATTTTAGTAAAATTGTAAACGGATACATTTCCTCGGAGTTGCCGCTCAGCTCATGCAAATGCAGCTGTTCAGTGACACTCTCGCTTTTTTCTCTCTTTTTTTTTTCACTAAACCAATTCAAAGACTTTTGCTACGTTGAGCAATTCAAATTTCTTGCAGTAAACCTGTCCTCCCGCTGTCTGATTTTGCTGCAGGATTCACGAGGCACCTTCTGACACTGTATCTGCACATTTTTAGCACACAAATCATGTAAAATAGAGTCACCTCCTGGCATGCACGGGGTGGCACTCGAAGCCACTTCACCTGGCCCATCGTGTGTGTCAGGCAGGAGCAGGAAACTGTTCTCCAGAGAGATGTTGGGTCCTGACCACGACAGGGATGGGTCACAACCTCCTGGCCTGGGGCCACCATTCCAGCTCCAGGCATCCCAAATCTCGGGTAAATCCTGTGAGCAGGTCAGAAAAGCCAAATCACTGCACTTCCCTTTCCAGAGATGTTCTTAAAGGCTTCTGGGGAAAGGGAGTGTATTTTATTTGTTTACCATGAGCAGTTCAGGTTTTTATTGCCCTGTTGTCGTGGGCAGATGGAAGGTGATGGCAATTACAGCCAGTGGGAGTCTCCTGCCCAGTAACACGTGCAGGGGGAAAGGAAAGAGAAATAAGAAAAAGGGCAATGAGGCAGAGCGTGGAAAACTGCTGCAATCTGAGAGTCAGGGCTCCTGCTCACAGCACCTGGGCAAGTCAAATGGGTCGTGATTGTGGCCCTGCAAGTGATGCCCAGAGGATGTGCCATTCCCTCTGTGGGAAGCCCTCTCTGAACTCGTGCAAAATGCATGCAGGGGATGTGCAGGGGAAAGCCCATTGCAGGATCAAAAAACCCCTTGCTGCTCTATTCACCAGCCAGCTCTGACTGCGATGGCACAGGAGGGCACAGATACTGTTGAGAGCTCCTTTCACTAAGAGAGGGTGAAGTGAGGGGGCACAGGGGGCCAGAGCAGATGGAAAATGTCCATATGGGAATGCCATTAAAATAACAGAGCAGAGAACAGCAGGCAGAGAAAATCAAGAAGAGTGAAAATGTTCTTTTAAAATAATATAATGTTATTAAAGATATAATTATACAAATAAATAATATAAATATAATAATATAAAACAGATAAAAACGTAAAATAAGATAAAATATGATAATAAAAATAAAATATAACTGATAAACTAAAGCTTCAGTATTACAGGCAAACAAGCAGAGGGAAGTGTTTAACCTCTGTACCAATGCAACAATTATCCTAAAGAAAACAGGGAAATACAATAGCAGCACTACCTGTTACAACCCATATTCCAGCTGTGCCAAGTTTCAGAGTTATGTCAGAGCTCGGATACTCTGTGACATTCCAGATGCCAGTTCAGTGATATAATAAATCTCCCTTGGCTTCCGTTCCCGGGCTCCTCATTCTGGTCACCGAGGGTGAAAGCTGATCCCCTGGACGTGGGGAAGGGAACGCAGCAGTATTTGCTCACAGGGAGGAAAGGCTGGGCAGCAAATGACATCATTTTGTCAAAGAAGGGGCTCTCTTTGAAAAGATGCCACCAGTTGTTTGCACAAATTATGAGACAGAGCCACAGCACTGCGGCTTTCCAGGGTTCACCTGCTGAGAGGAGCAGCAGAGCCTGTCACCCACAGAGTTCGTGCCTCCGGGAAGGAAAAAGAGTCGCAAATTAACCCGATGATTTGGGCATCTGGTTCAAGCAGTTTCCTTCACCTTTTGTGGCCAGAGCTCTGTCACTCGGCTCACATTTCCGAGCAGCACCTGAAGCTACACGTAACTGCAGCTCTTGCTGTGTGGCTGGAAGGAGACAAGTGCCCAGATGTCTGCCTGTATCTGCCTTCAGTGCCAGGTGCATAAACATCTTTACAAATCAGACCTTTCATCCAAGATTTCTCAACTGTTTTCCTCCTTTCTCATAAATCCCAACAGATTGTCACAGAAAATGGAGCAAATGTTACACCCTCGTTCACATGTGCTGGATGGAGCCTGAACTCATTTTTTTTTTTGCCAGGAAATACCCCCCTCCTGTGCTGAGCAGGCACAAACCTGACCCACACACCTCTGGATGTTTGGCACCAGTGCTTCACAGATCCTAAAGGATGTGGAACTGTGGAGGAATGTCTCTGTTTGGTGCAGGGATGTAGGAACCCTGCAGAGAAGAGCTGGGGTTGGCACTGCATGGACCAGCACAGCTTTAAACTGACCCTGCTCTGAGACCTTTGTCCAGAACTAAAGAGTTTCTGTGCAAAAACCAATCTTTTAAAAGGTTTTTTTTGTCTTTAGGCTTGTGAAGAGGAAGCCATGTCCAGACATAAGATGACACAGATGTCTCAGCACCAACCATCCCACACAGCATTTTGGCTGGATGATCTTGGAGGTCTTTTCCAACCTTAATGATTCCGTGATTATTCTGGTGTCTACTGTGGTTGTTTCAAGATCCTGCCTGTCTCAGGATCATAGAATATCCTGAGTTGAAAGGGACCACAAGGGTCAATGAGTCCAACCCCTGGCCCTGCACAGACACCCCAACAATCCCACCCTGGCCCTCAGAGCGTT